CCGCCCCCGACACACAGCATCCCCAACTCCCGCCGACGTACCCGTGAGGGCACCAGCGGACAGCAGTACGTCACCGTTACGAATAGCGGTTATATTGGCGGACAAATCAGTTGCACCGTTGCCAATGGCAACGAACGTGACTGCAGGAAGGGGAGACAGACAGACAGACAGATGGGGAGGGTCATAGGGCGGGAGAAGCTCCCCACCCCCATCCCCAGCCCCACCCCAGCCACGGTAAACCTAACTCTAAAACCCCAACTCCCCTCCCCTCCCACTCTCTTCCCCCTACCGGCTGCTGCTCACAAACCCGCAAATTCGTACATTCCAGTCGTATAATCTACATTCCCTTCCCCCCCCGGACCCCCCCCCGGGCTCCCCAGCCTGGGTGCGTGCGGGGACTGGCACCCGCCCTAAACCCCGCGTGGGTCGACACTCACAACCCCTCCCGGCTATAATCCGATGATCAAATCCAAGGCGGAGTTTCACCCCCACATCCCCTTATATATACACACCCTTACACATACATACATACATACACACCTCCGGCGAATCTGGGCCTCATTTTGGGGATGCTCTGAGACACGTGCGTCATGATGGGCGAGAAGTACATCTCCGCCGTGTCGCCCAGTAACGTGAACAGCAGGGGGAGCAGACAGGCCAGGAGCACCTGCCGTACAGGTGCCGTACATGGCGTGTATGTGTGTATGTGTGTTTGCGTCCCAGGAGGAACCCCCCGCGGGATAGCGGGACGATGGGAGCGAAGAGGGGTGTGAGGGTTGAGGGAATTCACCGGTGGTGGGCACATGGTAGCGAAACGCGGCGGAGGGTGGGTCAGCGGCGGAGGGGTGTGTGTCTGTGTTTTAGATCAGTCGGCCGCACCGCAAGGGGGGAGGCTAATGGCGCGGGGGGAGGGAAGGTGAGGGAGGGAGGGGGGAAGGAGGGAGGGAAAGACGAACCACGAACGAGTGAAGCTGCTGCCAGGGCAAGAGTGTACCAGGAGAGGGAGGGAGGGAGGGAGGGAGGGAGAGAGGGAGGGAGGGAGGGAGGGAGAGCAAAAGACCCACTAAGAGCAACCAATGACTGACAAGTGCGGTGGGGGGCGATTGAGGGGGACATCACCCCCCCCTAGAGAAAGGGGCGAAGGAAGGAAAGGAAGGAAAGGAAGGGGAGGAAGGGAAGGAAAGGGGATTTCACCAATGAGAAACAAAAGGGAACGATCCACACCACACCACACCACACCACACCACACCACATATCATGGCGCGGGGAAATCCTTGAAAGGACGGAAAGGCCCTATATAGGCCGCTCGGGGCCCGTACACCCCCCTAGGTGCTATCACAATACTGACAACACAGCTAGCCACTACTAGCCATTACTAGCCACGCCTCTTTGCCCCCCCTGAGGGGGCGGGGGGGATATAAAACCCTAAAGTTAGGCAGACGGGGGGGTCAGGAGGACATCTCCGGCCCCCTGAGCAGTGTGTTGTCGGCCAGGTGGTACATACATACATACATACATATATACATACATACCGACTTGTGCTGTGTACTCCCGACCCTTGCGCTGTGTTTCGCGGCCCACAGTGTAATCTAAGTCATACATACATATATACAAACATACATACGTACGTACCGTGAAGAAGCAGCTGGCTGCGACCCCGTGTGGCTCCACGCTGCAGTAGTACCAGCGGGTGTACGGCAGACCGCCCTCGGAGTCGCACTGCTCAGTGACAAACTGACAGCGCTTCCCGGGCGGAACTTCGTGCAGCCGGTCACATGTGTACGGCTGCGATGAGTACGACGCGCAGTACCACGGGAGCGGCGGCGATATGGCAGTTACTTGCCAGGAAGGTGAGTTTAACCGTACGGTTGTGCATTGGGTTGACAGTGGGCAGCGGGCAGGGCTAATGTGGCGGGTCAGGGACAGAGGGCAGTGAATGTAAATGGAAATGCGACATCTGAAGGTAGGGGTTCAGCCTGGGCATGATGCAGCGTCATAACTGCGGAGACAATTATCAGGAAAATGCGGTTAAGGTCAGGGAAAAGCATTCTAGACTGACGTTGCCGCTTCTGGCAAGTGCAATCTCCGACATGGCGTACCTCTGCCGCTGCGCCTGCAGCGAGCAACGCTAGCACCAGAGCAGGACACAATTGAACCATCGCCGAACTGTAGCTGCAACGCCTTGGGTCAGCCTCAAGCCCAGGTCCGGCACCTAGTCGACCGCTTAAGAGCTTCCTGCATCTGGCCTGATCCGTGTAACATAAAGCCACACCTCAAACTCGAGCGTGAATTTGCCAAACTACCACAAACGCATCCGTGCCGGGCCCGGCCAGTGGTACAATGCGAACGGCAACGGAAATCAACTAAAGTAAATCAGGGCGACCTTCATGTGTAAGAGTTCTTTACCTTAATAACAAGAACGAAAAACAAAATTGACTCAAGCATACACGGATGGTTTCTGCAAAGAAAGGCACGTTGCTACGCAGGTGAGTGCCGCTCTTTCGCTGTCATTTTGCAAATCTTTTCCTCAAAACGTTTTCCTCAAAATACCTACTCTACACTTACAGTGATGTACCTACAAAAGTCTATATTGTCCATTTGAACAGCCAATACAAGGCCGAGGGGTGCGTTCTCGGTGTTGCGACTGTCTCGGTTTGCGCTCTTCCTCAACTCATTTTATTCACATATTACCGTCGGTCCCTAGGAAGAAGGAATTTATCATCGCCGATCTCGACGAGCGTACACTCCTCATCAATCCCGCCTACTTGGACGAAATCCGTGCGGCTTTGAAAAAGTACAGTGACGAGCTGACGTTTGAGCCCACGGAGAAGCAGCCGGGACAGCAGTGATTCTCTGCGGAAGCACTGTTGGGGGCCGCCAAACGTAGGGATGGCGGTCTGTGATGTCTACTCGGCGATTCAAGAGTTTCTGCAGGTCCAAACCTGCAGGGCACAGCTGTATTCACGCTTCCAGGATGGTTTTAAAACCTTTATCCGCACTAGGTAAGGGGTTTCGTTTCAGTTGTGCATGCCACGTCCAAATGACCCTCGGGCCCAGCATGCGGCGGTCCAGCCTCTCGCATTCACATTACCAGAGTAACCCTGGACCCATACTGCCTAGGGGGCATGCCTGTAACCTAGGCGGCTTGTGGACTAGGAGGACATCTACTACAAACATCCCTGAGGCAGCTCAAGATGAGCGTCAAATAATTTGTTTGCGCTCTGCAGGCACGAGGGACCGTATAAGGCCCTTTTGTCGGAGCTGACCTTGGCTTTCAATGACTGCTCTAAAAAGGTTATTGGCCTTGAGGTGAGGTGAGGTGTTGATGTTGGGTTCTGGGGGCCCGCAGGTCTCACAGGAGCTGGGCGCCTTGCGGCCCACCGGCCGGTTGTTACGGTTGTTACAGTTATTACGAGCACGAGCCCAACAACGACTCCCTAGACAGGAGCAGGAAATGAGGAATGGGATCGAGTATATGCCTGGCCGGATGTTTTACTCTCACTTTGCTGCTCTGTTCTCCGCTGCTGCTGCTGTTGTTGCCGGCCTCGCGTCTGCTCAGTGTTGATGATGGTCAGTGCTGATGATGCTGTTTTTCTGGTTGCTGTTTCTCTAATGCCTCTAGGTGCTGTGGTGTGCTGCGCTGTGTGTCGCAGAGTGCGCTCCAGGAGATGGGTCGTGCCGACCTGGCTGCCACGTTGCGTACTGTTCAGGTGGGGGGGGGGGGAGGGGGGGAAGAGGTGCTGTCCTGGCGGGTCGGTCCTGTGTGCGCTCTGCTCGCTTTCCTAACGCCCGTTTGCAAGTGACTTGATGTTGGAGGGGCAGTTGAAGGAGAGCCAAGAGGAATTCCTCAATCACCGATCGTCCCCCTTTATTCCCACCCGTTCATTCATCTGGGGGCCCCCCGTACACACACACACACACACACACCCCACCGCACCGCTCTGACTTTGGACAGCAGACAGCAGTTTTCGGCTTTAGGGATCGGCGGTCATTTCCTTGACTTTGCATTTCTCCTACCCAACCCAACCCACACACACTCGTCAGCTTCACTCGCTCGTAGTTCGTCTCACCCCTTCCCCCTTCCCCCCAACACGCGCACATTCCGCGCGCACAGGAGTCCGAGCGCGATAAGCTGCGATTGACACTGACTCTACAGGCGTTGAAGCAGGCAGCAGCTTTTCGAACTTTCAGCTGGCAGCAGCAGCGACAGCGTAAAGGCGACCAGCACCAGCAACAAGGTGGCGGTGAAGATAGTGGTTGGTACGGATACAGTACAGAGCTATATGAGGATGAGGATGGTGACGCGCTCGCGCTTTTGGACCCTCTCGAGGCTGCTGCCCGCCACGGGGGTGGCTGTGCACACGGACACGGGCACGGGCATGGAAGTTCGAACGGAAACGGGCACGTTCACGGGCATGGGCCGACTGAAGCGCCACCTGCATCTGCCGGCTCTACCGGTGTACTTCCTTCTGCTACAACTTATACAACTGCCTCTTTGGCGGTTTCGGAGGCAGCGGGGGGACCTGGGGGGGGACCTGCGGGGTCCAGCAGTGGATGTGGTGGAAGCGGTTGCGGCGGGGCGGTTCCGGAGCCCACCCGCCGGGAGTTTCAGGCGGCAGTTAAGGAGGCTATGCAGGTGAGTGCGCCCGGTGTGGTGTGGTGTGTACGGCAGGTGGGGGTATCAGGGTCCGTAGCCGCCCGCAGAAGTTCCCGGTGCCGTTGTTTGTGTAGTGACCCGCGTGCGAAGGAGAGGGGCCGGTCGGGTAGGAGAGGAGGCCTAGGGCGGGGGAAGGGGGGGGGAGGGGGAAATCATGTGCAAGGAAAAAACAGGAATGAAGTGCCGGAAGGCGTCCAAAGTCCGCTTTGAATTCCAAAAGAGTCAGTTGATCCTAGAGTTCTGTAGAGGAAGGGTAGAATGAACGTAAGCGAAACGGGGGCGAAACGGGGGCCTGGGGACCCCTTATTAATCAGTGGGGGAGCAGCGGCGGCAGAGTCCTTCATATGCGCGAAGCGCGGGAAATCCATATCAAATCTTATTTTGTCGTACATATTATTATTACTGTAATTTACACCGGACAGTTCAGCAAAACGTGTCGTACACCGGACAGTTCAGCAAAACGTGTTTCTCATCTTCAATATGGCTATGATTGCCGCAGCAGCTGCATACCCCCTGCTCCTCCCTAGGTATATAGACGTCATCCCTTGCACCCTCTGTTCGCCGCCAATGCCCAACAGCAAAGCTTAAATTGCATAAGCTTGCGATTCGCTGAACGCGGAATAAACGTTGCGATATGCGGGAGCACCTCTTTCCTGCCCTCTTGCTTGGCCGCCAGACCCATCCAACACTTCGCCATGTGGATTCCTGGCTACTTGTGTAATCGCAGGATCTCGACGCTTGCATCCAGACGATCAACGAAGCTATTGGTGAGCTGAGTAGCGAGATGAGGCCCCTCTCCGGCGGTGACACCCCTGGGTGACACGCCTGCACTGCACTACACTACACTGGCACCACACTGGCACTGCGGCTTGCGGGCGGAAGGGAGCCCACAGCAGTGCCACCACGGGGGGGCGATGCGCTGTCGGGGATGCGCTGTCGGTGCAGGGCCCTGTGCGGCCCCGGACGACGGAGGCCCTGCACCGACCCGACCCGACCTGACCCGACCCGGTGCATTGAGTTTCCTCTCCGACGCTGTGACTGACGCTGATTGCCTTGCTGTGCTTTTTGGTGTGATCAGCCCTGATTGCCTTGCTTGTTATGCAGGTGATATACGCATGGAGCTCGAGGAGGAGGAGGATGGCTGAAACAGATGGCTCATTAACAGAGTGCAGTTTTGTTTTTCATTCTCTGGACGGAAGAGAAGGCATAACTATCTACATACAAATAGGAGTAACCACAAAAGTAAGGAGCGAAGGACTGCCAAGGACTGCGGGCTATACAGAGCACACGCCCTGATCGGAGCAGGTCGGAGGAGGATACCGAGAGGGACCACCCACTTGGCACCGCATGTCGCCGCAGCAGACCCCACAGCTGGTCCACCGTGGAGGCGGCCGTTGTGTCCTCGCTGTGCTCCGAAGTGCACTGCCGTAGTACCTACCAGTAGATGCATGATACAAACGGCAGCCGATGGCAGCCTGTGTTGTATCACGTCTTTTTCAGAAGAAAAGAACCGATCGGCCGATGTCAGATCCCGTGATACCCAGGATACAGCCTGCTGCGAGATAGGCAACGAACCCGCAAGAGATTTGTCGGTGTGCTGGGTGGACAGGCCCGTGGACAGGCCCGTGTGCACCGGGTGTGTGTGTTCCCGCGTGTAATGATGTTCCTGTTGCAGCAAGATGACTGTTTCCTGAGCCTGAGCTGGTAACGGAGGACTGCCTGGGTTTGCCATGATAGTCTACGATGCGGCATGTATGCAGCTGGCTCTGGCCATGCATGTCCCCATGCATGTAGCTGGTTCGGCAGCTGCCCATGATGGGATCGGCATTTATTGTGGCTCCAGTTAACCGCTCAGGTTAGCTCGTGTCTGACTCGCCTCCATGCCCTTGTGCCCGCTCGCTCGCTCTCCTCGGTTCCCAGGACGTGTCATGACCACTGGCTGCAGACCACTGTACCAAGAGCATGACAGACGGTTCCCAGCAAACTTGTTGTACCCAAGGTGGACTGCAGTAGCGGGGGTCGTGTCAGCACCGCTGTCATACGGGGATTCCAGCATGCTGGGAACGGCAGGTGGTGGTAGTGGGCGATTAGGAAAGAGCGCATGGTGGGTCGTTGTCCGTCCAGGGAAGCAAGCGGGAGATGTGGAAAAGACGGGGTGGATGCGACCGAGGGCGGGGGGGGGAAGTGAAGGCGGTAGGCAACCGGGGAAATGACTGCGGTGATGGTGGAGGGACCGATGTGGCGAGGGGGGAGTTTGGCGGAGGGGCGTGGTCGGGTGAGGTGAAGTGAGGTGAGGTGAGGTTAGCGGTGGAGAGGCGGACACGGTCGCCAACTTGGAAGGTAAGGTTTCGGCGGTGTTGGTTGGCGGGGGCGGCGGTTTAGCGGGGGGACGTTAGCGGCTTCCAGTTCGGTGGGGACGGTGGTATGGAGATCACGGAGGTGGGTATGGAGATCAGCGGCGATGGGGTGGGCGGGTGTGGGTGGGGGAGTGGCAGGGGTGGTGGGGTGGAAATCGTAATGCTGTTAACTGGAGGCCCCTACCTTCAAGTTATTGTGCCTAACGAAGGGCGCTAGGTGCTCGGCCCTGTACGGCAACTTGGTGATCAGACTCTTCGTACTCAAAATGCATCAGCTAAAGCACCGTGGGGCTTTGCCGTCCCGATTCCCTTGGTGGCATTGGTGGCGCTTGCAGCCGTAGCGAAATGGTCGTATTAACGGTGCATCTATCTTCGGTTGACGTGATGTGAGGGAGTTGAGGGAGTTTTACAGACTCCGCAGCAGCAGCCTATGCCCCTTTTCCGAACGACCCAACTGGGGGACGAGGGGGCCTAGGGGGGACACACAATCCGAGCAGCTCCGACGCCGCTGCTGCTGCCAACAGCTGCTCAGTACAGGTGCCTGCTGCTACTTGCTATTGGTGGTTCATTTGTACTGATAAGGTCAGTGCTTAGTGGTGGTCGTTGCCTTTCCGCTGTTTAGGAAACCAAGGACCTCCCAAGGGAGGAGGAAGTGAGATTTGATGGGGTGCCGCAGACATAGCAACAAAAGCGGACGACGTGTTGTGAAAAACGTTTGCGTATATCCCTCTCCCACCGGGGCCCCCTCCACCCTCGACCTGGTGACATGGTGTGGGGCGTACTCTCAGGTCTGTCGAGGACACAGCAGGTATGTCCTGGTGTTCAAGACATGTCAATATATTTACTACTCTATTCACACAAAAAATATTGTAATTATGCTTGTAATCCAGAGAGCTCTCAACGCGTTGTGTGGCAGCTGGATGGCAACTTGAAGACGGACCATGCCAAACGCGTATTATGCAAAAGATCTTCAAGAATCTTATTTATGGGCATCGTTGGTGTTGTTCGCTGTGCTGCCTTGCTAGGTTAATTATGTGTGGGCGGGATGGGAGAAAGCTTATGGAAGGAAGAAAGCATATGTCAACAGCACAAGCAGGAATAATGGTGTGTCACCTTTTATTATGATCGCGGTCATTGTAATGCGAGGAAGGGGTATGCTGTTGCTGCTCTGGTAGCTTGTAGCTGGTGACTGAAACAGGAAACCTTCGGTTCGCCACTCAGCAGCTGCTGGTACCCATGCCAGCTGCTGGTACGCTCTGTAAGGTTGCGTACTGTCCATACTGTCAAATCACGTAATTGCGGTGGTAAAACAGGCGCTTGAGGCCTCGGATGCAAACCCTGTGCACTCTCCGTAAAACAGCTGAACAACAGCTATACAAGCAAGCAGGAACCCGGGTCCTATGGGAATCAACAAAGATTTGCAAGCATCTTCGTGATGTCGGAAACCCTGCAGTTGTCGAATACGAGCGATCAGTGTTAAGATATTTGGTAGGCTGATGCAAATTTAAGCTGTTAAAAATAATTGCACATTGTTCCATATTCAGCGCATGCCTTGACAGGGTTCCGATACCCTTTTGAGCGTTATATCGGTAACGTACAAGCCGGTACCGGCTGTCGTACCGCTCAAATTCTTCATACAAAGCGCAATTTGGGTCGTTCTGGGAAATCAAGCTGATATCTACGACTGTTCGAATCATTTAAGTGTGAAAGTGAATTAGGTTTCCCTCTCCGTGACAGCCTTCTTCTTCTTCTTCTTCTTCCTCTTCTTTCCGACGCAGGTGTGTTCGCGTGCAAGTTGAGTCAATCCTTGTCTAAATTCTAGAGGGATATCGGCCTTCAATTCTTCGCTGACGAGATTCGGGCCTTTCCGGCTGTCGGGACGCAGAATTGCTGTAACGGAAGCATAGCGCATGTCTTTTTAAGGTTTTCTTGGCCTCTCACGGCCTTTTTGGGCATACTGCGACTGAATTTTGGCTAGCCACCACAATTCCTATCGCACTGGGATATTTCAGGTCTTCCGACGCACGTATATGTACCTCATCGCAGGGCGCGGGATGCATCCGGTCCTTTATGCAACTGATTTCCATCCCCTTCTTTGAACAGATGGAGGCTCCTCGTCCTGCTGATGCGGCTGCGGCTGGCGGTTCATCCGGTGGCGTTGGGATGCTCCTCACGTCCTGGCTCAAGGGAGATACCCAGCCGGCAAACCTGCCTTCTCACCCGCACCATCACCTTGGCTACGCTGAAGCAGTGGGTATTAAGGAACTGCGTGAGGAGGACATCGCATCAGAGGCTCCGCGCAATGCCACAAACAGCACCTACTCTATGCTTGAGAGCTATGTCGGCCCTGCAGGTAGGATGTAGGAATTGGTTGCAATTTCTTGATGCAAAGATACGTGGGAACCAGTTTCGGAATGTGCTCGTTCGGCTTTGAAGGAGAAACGCTGTGACATGGTTCTGGCCCATTTGCAGAGCCTGTAAACACCAAGCATCACTTTGAGGAGACACACGACAACCTCGCGAACAAGCTTGATATCGGCGTTGAGACTCGCGCCTCTAACTCTGTCTTCGGCCTACTAAACTCCTGGTTCGGCCCAGCCGAGACGACCCAAAACAAGCATTAGGGTGTATTCGCGCAAGTGCACAACACAGAGGAAGAATCCTATCCGATCGAGATGCCAGAGGGACCCGAGTTGCACAATTCGTTGCCTCGTGCTTCTCGTGCGCTAACTGTCGTATAAGTGTGCGTGGAGCCTTACGCGATATGTTTGTATAAATCCGGATGCTCTACCGGATATGCTATCAAGTGTGCAAATCCCCCAGGTTGCGAATGTGCGCATGATGCTTCACAGATGATCTGTGAATCGCGCCCACATTCCATTTTTTGGCTTTAGTAGCACTTACAAAGCAGCTCATCATTGTGTTGTAGTAGGCAGGCTGCGGATTAGGAGAGGGGGACATAGACGAGCGTCGGGCCTCACGTCCCTTCGTACAACAAGTACGGACCAAGTACGGACTGATGAGTGATCCCCACAGTTCCTCCATTTGTTGCTTCATTGGTTTTGCCTGTCGCCAGCTTCTTTCGGTGCTGGCTTTCGACGGTTATGGGCCTTCATTGCATCTTGGGAAAAATGCTGTTTGAATCTCTTTTCCGTCGTCCATCTGTTTCAAATTGATGCCGTACGTGATGTGTGCTACTGCCGGCGCCGGAGTGTCGCGGGAGTTCACTGCCAAGTGGCCGTGCTGCGGCTTCAAACCCGTGCGCTGTGTCCCACCCCAAAAGAAGAAAAACCAATTGAGATCCCATTTGAGAAATCTTGCTCTTAGAGTGTAGTTGTTTTTTTTGGTGCATGGTGCATGGTGTCCTGCCTTCCTGACGGTAAAACGGATCCGCTTTCCCGGTTTTGTGGGGGTTGTGCTCTATCTATCCTACCTTTATCGTTCCCTTAACTCTGTAGCCTTGAATGTAGCTCTTAATTCTACAGCTTCAAGGATTCTTCAAGGTTGCTCTTTCTCTTTATAGACGATTTATTCTGGTTCATCATCCCAGTTGGCAAAGTGCGTGCTGGTGGACCTTTACACATTTTGTGGCGGTAATCGATCATTTGTGGTGCCCACGGTCCGTCGGATTTTTCAGGCGTCGGTTTGTAATCTTGGCTTGTATCGTAAGGTGTGTGATTACCACGGTGGTTGGCTTTCAAGTTGTCCACGTTTAAATAGTGGTGCGTGTTGAAAAATTGCCCTTCACAACATGAACAGAAGAAGGCGATGCATTTTGTGGCAGCATGGTGAGGAATTTTCGGGCCCCCGGCGTTTGGGACTCAGGTGCACAGCGGCCAAAGACACGATGGATGCAGCTTTTGGTTTGATTTGTTTTTATCCCAGATCTGTCCTATTTTTTCCCAGACCTATTTTGAAATTTGTTTCTGGCTCACAGATGCCCGGTCACCACCTGCCGACCGACAACGGCCGCTGATGACGGCCGGGATAGATCCATTTCACAACAATTACCTAGCAGTCGCATCGATTTAATATAATTTGCAAAGTGGCGTTGTGAACGTGTGGTGTAATTGTAACAGATATCCGAGAAAACATGAGCCGAGAAGATGACCCGATGTAATTAATAGTGTGATGCGTTTCCTCATTGACCCGGGCAGTTCCGGGATACTGTCCAGCACCGGATGAACCTACGAAAGAGACCCCCGGCAAATAGCTAAAAGTACTAACTTTCGGTGTACGGGACCCAAAATCAGGGGAGATCTGGAAAAGGAAAAAGGAAGGTCTCAGGCCCCCAAGTTGTCCCCTCTCCGCAGCACCTGTTGCGACGGCGGATGTCGAGATGGCGGTCGTACAATGGAAGGGAGGGGATTGTTGTGTTGAGACGGCGACGGTACGGCACTTTTGATTTCTGCTGCTGCTCCGCCTGTTGATGTTTTTTGTTGCCCGGCAGCGCCGCCAGCGGCCGATCAGCCTAGTGGCGGGTTTAGTCGGTCATCCATGTCATGGGTCGTAGATCGTCTCGCTTCCGTCGCTGCAAAGCTCGAGTCTGTGTCCGCTGGGCCGCTGCGGGGTTCAGGAGGAGGTACAGCAGGTACCGGGGGTAGGGTTTGAGGAGGGGCCCCGCCCGCTGGCGGTGACGACAGTGGCGGCGGTGACGGCGGTGGCGGCGGTGACGGCGGTGGCGGCGGTGACGGCGGTGGCGGCGGTGACGACAATGGCGGCGGTGACGGCGGTGGCGGCGGTGGCGGCGGTGACGACAGTTCCCCGCCCGCCCGGGTTAGACTGACTGCCCCCGGCGGCCCATCACGTACGTGTTGGAACGTTACGTGTTGGGGGGGGCCCCGGTCAGTCGTCATCCATCATCGATATGGGGCCATCGCCGTGTGAATGTGGTGGTCGTGGTAGACTCAGGTAGATTAATGTAGCGGCAACCAATATAATCTTTTGGAGTGCCGGATGGTGGGCGGATGTTGTTTGGACACACGGACAGGAGGATGGAACCGCATTTTTTATCATACAGTGCTGGCAAAGGAAACAGTAATGGGCGGAGCCCCATGGATAGGATGGATGGAGGGATAATTGGGTGGGGAGGATGGAACAGTTGGAGGCTACATGTGAAATCAGAATTGGCCTAGAATCGATTGCTATTCTGTTTTGCTTAAGAGGAGGTATGTGAGGAGGGTCCCGTGGGTCCTCTCCAAAAAGCTCCTCGCTTGCAGCTTAATGCTTGGGACGGCAGTTGGGCGCCTTCAGGCTCCTCAGCTGTGACAGCTGGCCGCGTGACTGGGGAATGACAGCTGGCCGCAGCCTCCTCTTCTGCCAAACTGGGAACCGCCAAACTGCCGCTACTGCTGCTCTCTTGAGCAGTCCGGTGCACTTAGGGCCTTTTCCGGAAGAGGGCTCCTTCCTTCGCTTCGTTTGTTCTTCTCTGTGGACGAGCTTTCGCAACCTCCAGCTGGCGGCTCGCAAATCGTGCGGCCGCGAATGCGACCTGACTGCTCGCGCGCTTTCAGACGCTGAGCGATATCCGTACAACAGCGCCGGTAACCATGATACACATAACAGGCTCCTATGGCTACGGAAATTTTATCTGTTCAATATTCTAATTAGTTTTAATTGGTTAATCATCGACCCGGTTCGAAGCGCCATCTGAGCGGTTTTCATAATCTTCGCAGTTCAAGTCCCCTGGGTCGCTGAGAACCCATCTCCTGACACTTGGAATTTCACCGCCAAGAAATAGCCTACTCGATCATAGTAAACAATTAAAAGGCGCTAATCATCAACCAAGTGCTAAGCACAAGGCACAAGCGCCTCGCTTTCCTTTCCTTAATTGCTGGACGCTGTCCAGCTGCTGCTGTCCTTAAGCTTTCATATCTTTTCAACACCATCATCATCAGCTTTTTCAGCGTTAGAGCAGCAAAGCTTTGGCCAGGTCTGGCACCAGGTCGTTCATCCATCCATCCATCATGTTATCATCGGGCTTTCAGCAGCACCAGCCGGTGTCGTTGGCGCGCGGCACAACCCTCAACAACGGCCGCTACCGAATAGAGCGCGAGCTTAATCGTGAGCTGTTAACGTCCTGTGTAGTATTATTGCTAAGGACATGTTTTTATGTGGTAATTTCATCTAGAAATCCTGCTTCTAAAGAGGTCGACTGGGCGGCGCCGCGCGCATAACCTTAAGCGCCAGAGCGGAGCGGGTGCTGCTGCCAACGCGGCGGGCCACGTTTACCTCCTTGGTCCGTCCGCGCCGCATACAGTTATAATTTAGCAAGCCTTCCAAGCGCCAACCTTTTTTGAACCTTCTGCTAAAAAAACCTTTTCCGTGCGTGCTAAAGGTTACAAGTTGAAAGACAAGTAGAAGTGGTTCTGCATATATCCATCCATCCATTCATCCATCCATTCATGCATCTTGTTTTATCTGGTTGTCTTTCCTGGTCGCCCCCACATTGGTGTCCCCGGTGGTGTCAGGGGGAGGTACGGCGGTGGTGTACGCGGCGGAGGACCGAGCCACGAGGACGTATGTGGCGCTCAAGGTTGGTTAGCAGTTGGCAGTTAGCAAGTCTGTTGGTGTGCAAGTCAGTGGTTTGGCGATCAGTACATCCGTTTACATTACATCAGTGGTTCGTGCATGGGTGCTGCTGAGGGGGAAGAGACGGGACGTCTCTCTCCCTCCTGGCCCTGCTCCGGTTGCTTAGAGTGAAAAGAGTACTTCCACCAGTACAGCAATCCTAAGAGGAAGGATGCACCTCCGTGCCGATGGATGGTGATGGAAGTTACGACCTGCGCGGCGGAGTGGCAAAGTGGCAAAGAGGAGATAGGTGGACCCACCGGAACACCCACCCACCCACCCACCCGGGGGGGGGGGGACGAGGCGGTGCGGTGCGGTGGGGGGATTACACCCCACCAGGTCAACAACAGGCTGGTAGTGGCACTGGCCACACACGTCTGCGAAGAAGATGTACGTTACCCCCGTACCCCCCTCTCAATACACCGCCCTGTAACCGCCCTGTTCCTCCCCTTCCGTTCCTTCCCCGCCTCCTACCTCCTCTCTTCCCACCCCCCACCCCACCGGTATGTGTGTGTGTATGTATGTGTGTATGTATGTATGTATGTGTTTCCTACAGGTCATGCACGGACCCGACCAGGTGCCTCTCAAGGTCGTCAAACGAGAGGTACGAACTGCCGTACAGCAACACCAACATCCGTCGTCATCAGACACGGCCCGAGCTCAAGCACACCACCGCAGTCACATTCACATTTTGCCTGTCGTACATCACAGGCATCACTGTCGTACGTATGTGGATGTCCTACAAACCCAAACTATTTCTTCCCAAGCTATTTTTCCCCCCCCCCGCGCGCTGACTGACAGAAGCGAAGTCCTTTCCAATATCTTTCTCTTTCGTTCTGATCTGCCCACATCGTCAGCACACTCTCCCTCGACATGTAAAACCCTAAAACCCCTAACACCCGCCGACGTCCTTCCCGCCGAGCAGATCACGTTCAGCTCCTCCGTCAGTCACGACAACATTGTACGACTGTTGGACGTCTTCGCGGAGAAGCAACAGCTCGTCATCGTGGTACGACTTAGTTGTTATTATTATTGTGTTTACTCAGTGGCCTTCAGTATCTTTCCTTCTTAGGCTTTCTGCATCACATTTCTCACTGACAGACACACAGACAGACACACAGACAGACACACTGACGTCCTTTTCCACTTCCATTCCCAAAAGATGACCCGGAAAGAACCTCTTCGTCTTCACAACCCTAAATATCTTCCTTTCACCGCCACTGCCACCAGTGGGAGCTCATCAGCGGCCCGGACCTGCTGGACCTGCTGAACGAGTGCGGCGGCAGGATGCCCGAGGACATGGCCGCCTTCTACTTCACACAAGCGGTGAGAGGGCGGGGTGGTGAGAGGCGGTGGTGAGAGGCGGTGGTGAGAGGCGGTGGTGAGAGGCGGTGGTGAGAGGCGGGGGTGAGAGGCGGTGAGAGGCGGTGGTGAGAGGCGGTGGTGAGAGGCGGGGGTGAGAGGCGGTGAGAGGCGGTGGTCATTTCGGATCATCATGATCCCTTCGTCCGGTGCGGGGGAGTTGTGTGTGGTGTGGGTGGTGGTGTGTGTGTGTGTGTGTGTGAAAACCTCGAAAGCTATTTTTCTTTCAGGAGTGGCAGTACGATCACAGTACGTCGTAACCCGTCCTAATGTTTGCCGGTGTGTGTGTGTCAGAACATGTTGATGTGCACAGAATCGCATTCCTCGCAAAGCTCCACTCCCCATCTCCCCAACGGTAACTCCCAACCGCCAACCGCCAACCCCCGTCCTCAGCTTCGCGGTCTGGTCTTCATGCACGCCAACGGGTTTTGCCACCGGGATATAAAACCGGAGAACTGCATGGTGCAGAGGGCCAACCACCAGCTCAAGGTACGGGCGTACGACAAGTTGTACGGTGCGGCTTGTGCTGTACGGGGACAAGGACGCCCCGGTGGCAAAGGAACGTGTTTTCTCGTGTTGTGGGAAGGAGGGAAGGGCGGGAGGGAGGGAGGATTCACCTGCCCTTATGGTCGTACGGCGGTCGTACACGTAAGGTAAGATACCTGCAAGCGATGGGAAGAAGCTGATTAAAGGGTTTGCTGAGGAGACGTGTTGTCACATGTCCTGGTAGGTATATGGTGTATGGTGCCGGCGCATGCACAAAAACATATGTATTGCTGGTGTACGATGAAACGTGTAAAACCACATATCACATGCGTCAGAAACAATCTCCCGATCCCTTTTTCCTTGTCGTACCCACCTCCGGTACTGCTTTGTACGGCAGCTGATCGATTTTGGGTTATCCAAGCACCTTGCCTCGGCCAAGACCATCGGAGTCGGAACCCCGGGTAGGTGTACGGCATACGGCGTACGGCATATAGCATACGGTGTATATTAGTTTAGTGAAGCTAAGGGGAGAAGGGTGGATGTACAACATGTTTTCCTTCTTTTTCACATCTTCTCTCCACTACAACCCTCCCTCCCCCCTTTCCGTCTTTCCCTCTTCCGGCACATCCTTACCCCCCTGCCCCGTAACGGTTGGCGGTTGGCGGTTGGCGGTTTCTGGCGCCCAACAGATTACATGAGCCCGGGTAAGTGGAGATTTATTTAAACGGTTAAAAGGTTGGCTGCCTTTTTTCCTAAAAGAGATCGAACCCGGATTTGCGGCTCTGATACCGGTAGTTAGTTACCTGTTGGTTGCTTTGTTCGTTGACAGTTGGTGATTTGCATTGGCATGTGTCACATCATGATTCGGTTTCCAGAAGCCCCTGGAGGCTCTGGACCAATCACCATTACCGTCCGCCACCCCGCCACCCCCAGAGATGCTCGTCCATCAGCAACAGATGGGCTACGAAATGGGGTCTGCCGCACAGCAGCCGCCGTACGACGCCCGCCAGGTCGATGCCTGGGCCATGGGTGTCCTCATGTACCTCCTTGTGACCGGCAGGTACGGCAGGGGAAATGACAACAGTTGTCGTACATGAACCTGCCCCAATGTAGATTTAATCGTCGTGCATGTGAACGGTTCAGCCAATCCGCTAATTAACAAATTCGCAGTTCATGCGGGGCAAGTAGCGGGGCAAGTACTTTATTCTGCCACTGCCACTGCCACTGCCACTGCCGCTGCTGCTGTTGAGTATTTCCCCCCCCCCGGGTTCCCCCCTCGGCAGGTATCCGTTCGAGGATGACGCGCACCCCAACAACCTTGCCGCCACGGTCACCAACGTGCTGGCGGGGCGACTGAGGCCGCTGCCGCCGGGGGTTAGCGCCGGGTGTACGGAAATGATCACTAAACTGCTTCAGCCGCGACCCGAGCGACGAAGCACGCTGCTGGTGAGGGGGAGGCGGCTGGGACTCAGCTGATTAATTAATTAATTAGTTTTTATTAATAGTAGTAATAATATTAGTAAATGTTAAAACTTATTAATTAAATTAATTTTGTTATTTTTATTTGTAGTATTATCAATTATTTATCCAAGATACGTTTATTTTCTGATAATTATTTTCAAGGGGGGTTTCTTGCGTTTTCGTTGTACGAGACGTTTCTTGACACAGTGGGTAAAATGGTTGTGTTAGTTACCCTTCAGCGAAGGGTATGTAACGGTGACCTGACCCGTTGTGTCATGTCACTAATGCCTCCGTGCAATCCGTACTATTTCCGTACATACAGGACCTGGTCGACAACCCCTGGCTGGCGACCGCGGCAGCGCAGTACGCCGGGCGGGTTTCGGAGGCGGAGGGTCGCGCCCCTGGAGCTCTGGACCAGTGGATTGACCTCCGGGAATACCGCCACCTCGCGGCAATGGACCACGGCGTGTCGTACCTCACGTCCTCCGCACGCCTCCAATACCAACAGAAATGTCAGCAGAACCAGCAAAGTACGACACGCAGTGGCGGCGGCGGCGGCGGCGGCGGTACTACTGTCGGACGCAGCGCCTTCGCCACTGCGGCAGCGCCTGCCGGCGCCGGTGCCGTCGCCGCTGACGGCAGCAGCAGCAACGGTGGCGGCAGCGGAGCCGCCTTCGGGATGCTACTGCCGGCGAGCAGCAGCGCGAACAGTGAGGAGCTCGCCGCCGTGGCGGGAGCGATGCAAACCGTGGCGGGTGTACGGCCGATTTCAGATGCAGAGAGCCGCGGCCGTGGCCATCATCATCACCATCACCAACACCACAACCACCATCACAACCACAAACTGCCACGCAGCTCTTCGCCCAGCGGCCACAACCACCATCACAACCACCACCACAACCACCATCACCATCACCACCGCAGGCGCGGCTCGGAAGGATCCACCACCTCCGGCGGCGAGGTGACATCCGGCGGCGAGGAGCAGCAGCAGCAGCAGCAGCAGCACAACCACCAACACCAACACCAGCAGCAGCTGTCGTCTTCTTCGTCGCTGCAGCCACAGCAGCTACAGCCGCTACAGCAGTCCCAGGGGGCGGGGGCCCCTCGGGGCGCCATTGCCAAGATGCGAGCGTACTTCCGCCGCAAGCTGGCCGAGGGCTGAGAGGGCCTCTTGAGGGCCGTTAGCAGTTAGTTAGTTTGTCAGCCTCAGTGACTTAGCAGCAAGTGAAACGGACTAGCAGCAGACTACTGAGTGCATGGGGGGAGAGGTGTATGTGGGGTGTGTGTGTGTATGTGTGTGTGTCTGTATGTTCGGGGGAAGGGAGGGAGTGTGAGAGTGGCATGAGTCTGTTGCCACTACTCCTAGTGTGATATGTTCCGAAATTAGTTGTCGGTTGTTGGTTGTAATGCTCAGAAGGCTCGTCAGGAGGGGTTTTGAGGTCGCAAGCTGTACCGCGTGGCGACAGGACAAACCCGACAGAGATGTACGGCGGGGCATGGACACGGGCGGGCGGGGCGGGGGCGGAGGCGGAACTGGGGGTGCGGTCGTGGTTCGTGTCGCTTGTCTTCCTGTCCCTGCATGTCTGTCTGTCTGTCTGTCTGTCTGTCTGTCTGTCTGTCTGTCTGTCTGTCTGTCTGTCTGTCTGTCTGTCTGTCTGTCTGTGCATCCGTGTCCTGTGTCCTGTCCATTGTATCTTTGTTTTGTACTGAGACTGTGGGGAGGGTTGGGAACGTACGGCACATCATTTGGCTGTACGGCTGTGTGGAGGAAGGTGAGTCTTGAGTAGCAGCAACGTTGGGGTTTTCTTAGGGTCGTGTGGGATATCATCCCCCGGGGAGGCGAAGGTATCATGGTGCATACCAGCCGTACCGCCGTACCGCCGTACGCCTCTCCCGGGGGACCTTGCATGAAGGCCGTACACGATACATGCACGATTGGTGTACGGCAGCGTTGATGGAGCTCGATTAGTAATCGTGGTCGTATGACAGTAACATTTTATCATGGATTTATCGATGCAGCAAATAAATAAAAGCATGCGGTATTGCTCTCGAAACTCGTCGACATCATCATCGTCATAGTAGGTAGTGTTTCGCTTTGCGTCATGTAGCAGCACGTGTAGCGTTTGGGAATAATGGTGAAGGGTTTAAAGCCCAGAGCCCCATTACAGCGCCACATTAGCACTTGTCATTTTTTGAGTTGAGGGGGGGGAGAGCTGTATGGCGTGGTGTATGGGCGACTGTGACTTTGACGGTGGTGTTGACAGTGGTTGGTTGGTTATTTGGTTGGTTGGTTGGTTGGTTGGGGATCATTAACCGATTGACTTCAGAGTTGGGTTTTAGCTCCCCGGGTGTAGGGGTAGAGGTAGGTAGGGGGTCGCACCTTGTGCAGTTGTACAGCAACTTCTACAGCAATGCATCGCCGCAATCACTTCGTAACGTAAAACTCGCCTCGCCATAAGTAAAATAATTGACGCATACCTAAAATTCTTGTCGTACCGTAGCATTTGTCGTACCGTAGCAGCGATGGATTGCTCACCGTGGTCCCCTTGGTAGGTGTGCTTACCATTTGGTTCGTACGTGGCTTTTTTGCAAGTAGTAGTCCTAAATACTATTTGATAACAATAGCTGTAGCAGTAGTAGCAGTAGTAGCAGTAGATACATGAGCTGTATTTCCGAGCTCTTTTTTGCTCTTCTGGTGGTCCCCGACAAGGTCTGGTTGCGGGCGGAGCTGTACCGTTGTGTGTTGCTGTTATTGCTGGATTTGGTTTTCCTCCAAGTTGGTTCCACCCGGGATGTGGTGTCATGTGGTGGTCATGATGGTGGGACGTGAAAGAGAAGTTGGGAGAGATCTTGCGGTGTGAAAGAAAACTGTTGAGTAGTGAGTGGGTCAACTGTTGGACAGAAGGTCAATTTGGTCAAAATACTGTTAATGTTTGGATTATTGTAACAATATATGGCGTTCTTTGATATCACCCGTCCAGCTCTCCCGTCCCCTGTCCTTTCACCTTGGGGAAGTAATGGGGATTATTGACAGCTGATTGCGGGATAGAATGAGAGCGTATGGTTGTGTAGGCGATGGGGCTTCACGGCCTCACTCTCCTGGACGACTTAGGCCAGAAACACGCCCTTAACTTTGACCCCTTTGAAAACGCCCTCTGTTGACCCTTCAGAGGCCTTCGATCCGTTCAAGTTCCAAGAGCGCTAACTCACCGCCCACCAAGAGCACGTTGCCGGTTACTGCCGGTTTAATAATATGTATGTACTGCAGTACGTCAAAAGCGGCTGTTCTGCTGGATATGGCTGATATAGTTGGTACAGCTGACTGATGAACCGTTTCCTGCTCAAACAGGCACAGACACATGTACGACAGCAGAACGGCACCTGGATGGAGGGAAGTCCCACGGGGAAAACCTCTACATGCCGTTTTGCCATAGCAGTACAGTTAATTGACGATGATCGTTCGGGTGACTAACATGTTGTCAGGATCGCCTTCAATCTCTTCCCCAAGCAAGAACCGTGCCATGTCAGGTCCGGTCAGTCAGGCCCCGATGGAGATTCAAACTCCGTCTCCATAACTGGAATATGCTGTGATTATGTAAAAGGGCAATCACGGCAGGAGGATGTTGCTAGCCGGGGTGCTAGCCGGGGTTTGAGGCGGGTGCTTTCCTTTGTTGCAGGGGGGACCCTATGGACCACTGTCAGGCTACCGCAGATCGGTCGCCACCATGAAGCCAGCTGCTGATAACATGTTGTCACTTGCTGTTGGGATGACAGCACAGTGATGGAGCTGATCATGAGCTTGTTGGAGCAAGGGATAGATAGCAACGGGTGACAGGGAACGGAAATGTGGCGGGAAGGGGCTAACGGGCGTGAATGGGGTGAACGGGAGGGATATAGGGTGGTAGGGAGCTGGGCGGTGCACGATCTCGCTGCTCACAGCAGTGCTGGGTGACGATGACGGTGCTGGTGACAGGGAGGGTGAGGGCGCCGCGCCCGTGAGCATCCTTGCCATTGTGTAGATGGTTGACGATGACCTCGAAAGAAGAAGCTACGGATGCGTACATGCAGGTCAAGAAAAAGAGGAGGTCAGGTGTGTAGGGGGGTCCGCAACGGCAGGAGTGGTGATGTCGGGTACGTGCTCCAAATGCTCAGCCCCAGGTCACCGAGGATGGTATTTCAGAAGACGGCGAAACCAATTGATTGGCGCTGGGTCTGCAGGGATGAGCGATTGAATGTCGATGAGCATTGGAATGCCTGTCCTGGGCTGTCCTTGCCCTTGGCTGTGCTGTGCTGCCCGCGGAAGTGTCGCTTTTTCCTCGGAGCACCTAAGGCCTCCGTTTTGCGGAAGATTCCAACCCGTAAGGTGTGTATAGGGCTTAGCCCTGTCAAAGGAAAGCCCCCAATGATAGTTCCAGGGCGCCCTTGTTCGAGCCGCAATTCCTCCTGCGAGCAAACGTGACTTAAAGCACCTTAGATACTCAAGAAGAACTTCAAGATCCATAACGCTGTATCAATAGCTCTTGGCACTTCCTCCATGAGACCAGAATCTGCTGTTCACGGATGACCGGCCCTATTTTGACCACAGGCCGCGTCGTAGGACTGCAAGAATACGGCCTACAGGCCCGAATGCTCTGCAATTTTACGGAATTATAAACCTTCCAAAACCATGCTAACAGATTTCCAAAATACTGCACCATCAAGGAAATCGCCTCCTGCTAGTAAATGGCAATAAAAGGCAAATAAACAGGCCGGTCATCCGTGAACAGTCCCAGTCCCAGATTACGTCAGCGGACGCGCTGTGCCAATAAGCAAAAAATGAAGCAACGGCCTTCATGATAGCTTGATATGTTGTTTGCAAAGGCTTGCACTGAGGCATCTTGCTTCCG